CCATCAAAAGATTCCGTTCGTAGCCCATAAGCAGAGGGGTGTATGTATCAAATGAAGGAAACCGTGCTTGTGTCACTCTAACCTGCCTATAGTAAGTAAAAAGCCTGGTTCTTGGGGTAAAAATCCAGTTCAGAAATCATTTCTGATATTTTTGATAAAAATACAAACGTTTAATGACAGACATATCATAAGCTCTGAACCAAGAACAACAATGTATTTATTTACTGAATTTCCACAAAAAAACTACATTACCCATAATACTGAGGAGAGCTAGATTCACCAATGAGAGAAGTCACCGTTACCATGAAAATGATAATAGCAGTAAAAGCCCACTCACATTAAGCATTGCAAATGACACAATCAAGTCAATAAAAGCCCATTCCCATGAGGCATTGCAAATGATGTAATTGAGTCAGTAAAAGCCCACTCCATTCAAGCATTGTAAATTACGTAATTCAGTCTTCTTACACGTTCCAACAACTTATATATCAACACATACCAAAGATTATATACAATACATAAGTTGTAAATTAACTTTAAATGTGTTGCATTTTATATGTTTTATCAATGACTAAAGGTAAAGGGCATTTTTTATTATTTACAGTGCCGTTCAAATGTTTGGGATCAGTAAGATTTTTGTTTTAAAGAGTTTTCTTATGCTCATCAAGGCTGCATTCATTTGATAAAAAATACAGAAAAAATACATAAATTTTGTAAAATATTACTGAAATTTAAAATAACAGTTTTCTATTTTAATATACTTTAAAATATAATTTATTCCTGTGAACCAAAGCTGAATTTTCAGCATCACTACTCCAGTCTTCAGTGTCACATGATCCTTCAGAAATCATTCTAATATGCTGATTTGGAACTGTTGGAAACAATTGTGCTGCTTAATATTTTTTGGGACCTGTGATACTTTTTTCAGGATTCTTTGATAATTAAAACGTTAAAAAGAACAGTGTTTATTCAAAATAGAAATTGTGTGTTACAATATACACTATTCAAAAGTTTGGGGTCAGAAAATTTTCCTTTCTTTCATTTTTTTTTTATTAATACTTTTATTCAGCAAGGATGTGTTAAATGCATAAAAAGTGATAACTTATAACTGATAACTTATAACTTTTTAACTTATAGTCATCAAAGAATCAAAGAAAAAAGTTTCAAAGGTTCCAAAAAAAATATTAAGCAGTTTTTAAAACTGATAATAAATCAGCATATTACACTCTAAAAAATGCTGGGTTAAATACAACCCAGTGCTGGGTAAAATAGGGACAAACCCAGCAATTGGGTTGTTTTGACCCAGCGGTTGGGTTACTACCCAGAAGGTTGGGTTAAACATTTAACCCAACCACTGGGTCAAAACAGCCCAATTGCTGGGTTTGTCCCTATTTTACCCAGCACTGGGTTGTATTTAACCCAGCATTTTTTAGAGTGTAGAATGATTTCTGAAGGATCATGAGACACTGAAGACTGAAGTAATGGCTGAAGAAAATTTAGTGCTGCGTCACAGAAATCAATTTTAAAGTATAGTAAAATAGGAAGCCAGTATTAGAAACGGCAATATTTCACAATATTACAGTTTTTTTGTATTTTTGATCAAATAAATATAGCCTTGATGAGCATAACAGACTCTGTTAAAAACAACATTAAAAATCTTACCGATCCCAAACTTGAATGGCAGTGTATAATGAACAGTTACTTTTGTATAAGTCATTTTCAAATCTTTCATGGGGTGTTGTTCATTGCCTCATAAAATACATTTAAATAAAAATTTTCTTTTTAAAATTAAAGAAGTTTGTAATGTTGAAAGTGATTCATCAAAATAATTAAAAATACTTGCAGAACCACTAACGAAGCTGTACATGTGACCGCAATCACTGCTCGGCCATGAGCTACATGCCATCAAAAGCGTGGACACATGCTTTCATTCACACATTTACAGGTTTCCATTGTGTTCTTCGCTGGGAAAAGACAATGCGGCTTCAGATCTCCGAGCTGATGGGTGGATGGATTAGTGTTACTCAGGCTACAGCATGAATCTCTGAGAGGTCTGAGAACTCCTTCCACAGCCAAACATCCAGATTACCCACACACTCCATCGTTCTGCATTCATCCAGGCTGAATGTACTGTACATTGAGCACTGAAGCACACAGGCTGTTCTTAGGCTTACAGAGCCCCAATCTCTCTATTCTAGATTCAGCAATCTGCACTTCCAATTCAAAACCCAATGTAAGTTCTAAAATGCAATTGCACCTCACAAAAGTTGAGTCATTTAATCATTCAACCAACAGCAATCACTATCATCATCACTACTATAACATCACCATTCACCACTATCCGCAACACATCATAACCACAATATTATCAGCAGCAGAACCATTATCATCATGACCTCCATCATCACTATCAAGTAATCGTTACCATTACATCATTATAACATAGCCACCATCACCATTTTCACTGTCACAACCTTTACTATCCTTACTGCTACTAGCTATAGGGGCTTTTGGAACTCAGTTCTAAGAACTAGCCATCATGGTGGTCCCTAGAAAACCAATTTCCCCCTCAAGCCAATTTCCTGGTTGCATTCACACCGTTAGCAGGAACTCTGAAGTGGCTGACAGCAACGCCTTTATTCGCTGCATTCACAAATGTTTACAAACGTTTAGACCCTACTCTGAAGTAGGCTAATTTAGTTCCCCCAAATGGAGATTTTAGAACTAAAACTGTTCATATTTCCTGTAATGCAAACATGCCAAAAAGTGGGTCATTTCACCAATAGGTCTAGGAACTATTAAAAGGTTCCTCTGGTGTACAGCCCATTAACATTGCCATAATCAACACCATCATCATTTCGTTTACACCATTATCATCATCACATTACAACCATAACTATCCCAACCACTACCATCACCAACATCATTACCAATCACTGTCACAGCCAGTATCGTCCTTACCATTACCACCATTCATTACCATCACAGCCATAACCAACCCCACTATTACCATCATCATCCTCACTGGTACTAACATTGCTACCATCACAGCCATCTTTATCCTCACCACAAACACCATCATGACATATCCTCCATCACTAATCATCAACACCACAACTTCATCACATTATCACCACAGTACATAACATCCATCACCATTACCATCACCACCATTACAACCATAATTATCCCCACCACTGCTATATCACCACCATCATCATTACCAGTCACTGCCAGTATTATCCTCACCATTACCATCGTCACAACCATCACCATCCTCACTACTACTGTCATTGCCATAATCATCACCACCACATCATTACTACCACATAACCATCATCACTTGCCATCACCGTTATGATCAACATCACAACATTACCATCATAATAGTTTTACATGTAAAAATAATCACAACCATAAAAACATAACAATAAAAAATGAATAAGCTGACCTTTTTGGCTCATACAACTTAAGTAATTCCATCATCACATTATCATCACTATCACATAACATCCATCACCATTACAGCTATAACTATCCCTACCACTGCTATCACCACAATCATCATTACCAATCACTATCACAACCAGTATTATCCTTACCAGTACCACCACCGTCACAACCATAACCATCCCCACCATTACCATCACCATCCTCACTGCTACTATCATTGCCATAATCACCCTCATCACCATCATTACTACCCTAACCATCATAACCACCTTTATCCTCACCACTAACACATCATCACATATCCGCCATCACCATTATCATCAACACCACAACTTCACCATCACATCATCACCACAATCACATAATATCCATCACCATTACCATCATCACCATTACAGCCACAACTATCCCCACCATCATCATTACCAGTCACAGCGAGTATTATCCTCACCATTACCATCAGTCACAACCATCACCATCCTCACTACTACTATCATTGCCATAATCATCACCACCATCATTACTATCATATAACCATCACAACCATCTTCAGCCACACCACTAACACCATCACCTGCCATCACCGTAATCATCAACACCACAACTTCACCATCACATCATCACCACAATCACATAATATCCATCACCATTACCATCATCACCATTACAGCCACAACTATCCCCACCAATGCTATCACCACCATCATCATTACCAGTCACAGCGAGTATTATCCTCACCATTACCATCAGTCACAACCATCACCATCCTCACTACTACTATCATTGCCATAATCATCACCACCATCATTACTATCATATAACCATCACAACCATCTTCAGCCACACCACTAACACCATCACCTGCCATCACCGTAATCATCAACATCGCATTACCATCATCTTCTTCCTCTTTCTTTATTTATAAAGCATTATTTAACAGTCTGTAGACCTAAGTTATTTACAAAGCTTTACATTTTTTGAGCCACATGCAAAAATAAATCACAACCATAAAAACATAACAATAAAAAAATGAACAAGCTGACCTTAAAGACAGCTTTGGCTCATACATCTTAACTAATTCCATCATCACATTATCATTACTATAACATAACATTCATCAGAATTACCATCATCATCACATTATCATCATAACCATCCCCACCACCATCACCATTAAATACCGTCACAACCAGTATTATCCTCACTACTACATCACCGTCACAACCATCACCATCCTCACTGCAATCGCCACAATCACATCACATAACCATCACCATCACAACCAATATCATCCTCACCATTACCATAATCACATTACCACCACTATCATCACCAATATCACATAACATCCATCACCATTAAAGTCATAATCATCCTCACCACTACGGTCACCGGCATATTCATCAGTACTACCATCAGCAGCAGCGCACCACAAACATTATAATTACAGTCTTATTTCCATAATGATCATCATCATTATCAGCACTCTCAAATCATCATCAACATGCTCATTTCTGACTTGTGCTGTGAGGCAGAGCGTCTCTTACCAGGTTTGAGTTGGTTGCGTTGGAATCGTCCTCGGGGAAAGGGATGTAGACAGCTAAGGCCACACAGTTTGCAAAAATAGTCATCAAAATTATGATTTCAAACGGTCTGAAGAGTCAGTGTTAAAGAAAATGAAAGATTTGTTTTTATACACAAGCAAAGGAAGAGTACACACACATACAGTACATGTTAAGTTGTATCAGTGCACAAGACTGAGAAGTGTGTAAGAGTCCTTATCCTTTCTGCTTTTTTTCTCTCTGCTCAAATCTTTTTTCTTTCCTGTTAATAGCAAGGCCAAGCTCTTCAAAAACCTGGCCTTCTTCAAGACAACGATCTTCACCCCCCTCCCATTTTCCTTCTCTCTCTTCCTCTCCTCCCTCTCTCTTTTCACTGGCCAAATTGTTTGTTTGGCTTTCAGTTCAGCTGGAAACGCAATCAAACTGTGTCATCATTTGTTACAGGAATGGATTTCTCCAAGATGGGTGTCGAGTCGCACGGCACGTGTCCTGAGGAGAAACAGATGTGTTCTTGTTTTCCTGGATGTTTCTCTTGTATCTGCTGTCTGGGCCTTGAGTTATGGCTCTCTGGGGTTAGTTCAGAATTACAGAGCCATAGACCCTGTAACCCATTTAGATAAACATGCTTGTAGATCAGTAGTTCGGGTCCCCAAGGGAGTAAAAACAGACCATTGCAGGCAGACCCAAACTGAATTTAATCTTTAAAGGTCTTACAAGATTATAAATAACACTTCTATATATGAAACCTGCTTGACTGTGCATAATGTGAATGTATGTGACCGAATGCGTGTTTGTAGGAGGGGTCATTATGCGTGTACATTTGTGTGTGCGCGTGTGGGAGAAGTGAATATTTGTGTGTGTGTGTGTGTGTGCATGGACCTGTTCAGCCTGTTGAGAGGAGCTGTTGGCATGGCAACACAGCCAAAGACAGGAGAGATGGGCTCTGGAGTCTCTGGAGATACAGATCCAGCCAAGTGTGTGCAAGACTGGTGACACATACGGATAGAACTGGCAAAACAGGAACTTTTATAAAATATCCCACTGAAATTAATGAGGGAAAATATTTATCTGTCTCCACAGTTCAGTCGTTCCCTCGTGCCGGTTTGTGAATTTATGGGGAAATATTTGATGATGTGATCAGTTCTTGGCTGAAGCTGTGAATGGGAGCTGGATCTCCTGTTTTCTGATGAATGAAGCATTTTACTCAACCAATCAATCCTCATTAACATATTTTCCTGGTCAGGGGCCTATCGCTGTCTCGTGTGGCCAGAAACGATTACATAAAACCGTGAGAGAGAGGGGAAAAAGAGAGGAAGAAAGAGAGGAAGGGGAAAAGGACAGGGGAATACACCGTCCTACAGTCTCCTGTAAAAATTCATTTCAGGGGTGCACTTGAATGACTCATCAAAGCTCAACTCTATTTAACACTTTGTAGAAGGTAGTGGCATAAAAACCACACAAAAAAAGTGTATTTACACCTGTAATGCAGCAAAGGGGGAATGACGGTCACGACAATAACATATCATGCTGAAGAAATTCATTCTTCTTTTTTGAGGGACTTTTTGGAGGGCTTTTATATTTTGGTACTGCTTCATGCAACATTGCATTTTTACAACAACTCAAAGATGCCATAGCACATCTGTCAAACGCTGCCTGTAATAATAACAAACAGATCATACAATTAATAAACACTTACTCAGAAGCACTGCTGCGAATCAAAATATGAAAAGAATACATGTATGACCTGGAGATCAATAATCTCAGCCTTAAAGTCAGCTACATTACGGAGTTTATGAGTAGTCTGTAACTGTAACACTAATTAATTAACATTCAGAAAACAACTGTATGCTCAGCTACCTGCTAAAGCAGTGGTCTTCACTACTTTTTTCATGGGAGCCGCACTGATAGGGCAAAGTCAATCGGAGAGCCACTTTTACCGCAAAGTATCAAAAGTTACATCCAGTCATAAATAGCATGTCTTTTTATCAATCTGTCATCCCTGATATGCAGTGCAATGCAATACAAAAGGGGCTATCATTCTTTATCTTTTCCCAGTCAAATTTCTAACTGAGACAAGATGATTTAAAAAAAAGCAGGATTACCTTAATGCTGGAAAGACCTTAAGTTATTTTCTTTTTTTATACTTGCCCATCATGTATCTAACCATCCAAGTGCACATTCGGCGTTAAGAGCTAAGATTAAAACTGGCAACTCCGATGGACTTAGGACAAAGCAAGTGTAAATATCTTTTCTATATTTCCATCTAGTAATGCAGCTGTTTTAGGTTTTTTTTTTTTTTTTAAATATAAATTATTTGTAATAGAGCAGACACTGTCTGACCGTGTCTACACACCAGACGCGGCGACAGTTGCTTCTGTTTGAGGTGCTGCAGTAAATTGGTCGTACTGCTACCTTTACTAGCAACAGACTTCAAACACACTTTGCAGTGGGGTGTTGTTTGTTCTGCGTCTGACGCCGCAAAACCGAACCAATTCCAAATTACGGATGACACTGTGCCTTTCTTGGGAACGAGTTCTTCCCTGCTCGCTGCCATGTTGTTTGTGTATCTCTATGGCAAACGCGCGGGGGGAGGGCTGAGGGTCAGTAATATTTACATCTTTGAAAAAAATCAATACCTTTATTCAGCAAGGATGCATTCAGTTGATCAAATGTGACAGTAAAAATGTTTACATTGTCACATAAGGTCTACTTCAAAAAATGCTGTGCTCTAGAACTCTAAAAACAACGGTAGTCCACAAGATTTCCTTAAAAATTATTAAGCAGCACAACTGTTTTCAACATTAATAATATGTAAAGTTTCTTGAGCAGCAAATCAGCATACGAGGGGAGCCACAAAGTAAAGCTTGGCGAGCTGCATGAGGCTCGCGAGCCGCACAATGAGTAACACTGTGCTAAAGCAAACGTCACGAACTCAATATGAGACTTTTTTGGATGTCGCTCTGGGAGGAACATGTCTGCCGCATTACAGATAAAAAAATAAGTATTTTCATAAGTATTGTGTGCTTTTTAATGTGATGGCACTTTGAGGCCCTGCATCAGTATACTGGCTTGTCAGATTCAAATGCGCTCTTTTAAATGAAATATGTGGTGAATTACAGCACAGATATATATATACATATATATATATATATATATATATATATTATATACTGTATATATATATATATATATATATATATACATATATACATATA